TCGCTCGCTCGCTCGCGCGCTTTCCGTGGCAGCGGAGTGCCAGCCACACGACTATGTCGGACTAGGTCGCGTCCTCGTGAGGAGGTAAGCTCTCACATTCTTTTTTCCCTCTGTCTCCACCCCTCTCTCTCGATCTCGATCTCGATCTCTCCATCCCTATTTCCGAAGCTCTCTCTCTCTCTCTCTCTCTCTCTCTCTCCCCCCAAAGTGCTCTCTCTCTCTCTCATAGTGCTATCTCTGTGTGTCCACCCAAGGGAACGCACCAATGAGCACGATGCCCAAACCCAACTGTATGATCGTGCAATCCTTACCAACCCCAAGAAAGCTTATATTATCAAAAACACGAAAAAAAAAGCGGTGCATCTTTTTATGTTCTGGCAGAGGATTCAGCCTCCTCTCTACTTTCGCAGAGCAATGCAGCGAGCCTCCACAACTGATTCTCACAGAGAGAGAATCACAGGACATAAAGGCTGGCTGCATTTCTGCGAACATCGAGAGGGGGCTGAATCCTCCGCCAGAACATGGAAAGATACACCGCCTGTTTTTTTCCTTCCTAATATACGAATTTGGAAAGAAGTGGAGGGAGTGACTCAGTCCGGACGTGTGAGCATCAGAGTGAGCCAGAGTCTGTTGAATTCTCGTGAAGAACATGGACACATACGTGGGGGGAAAAAAAACTATTTCCTATTCTGCTTGTTGTTCAACTGCTGGAGCGGCCTCCTCTTCCACGCTGCTTCTGTACAACCCCAGGCCATGGCTTCCGTACGTCCATACACCATGGAGGTTCCGCTGTGGCATGAAGGCCGCGGGCATGGAGGGTGTGCACCAATGAAAAAAAAAACATGAAAAAAAAAAGAACAATAGAAAAAACAAAGAAGAAGCTGAAGCCGCCTCCAGAACATGGAAAGATACACGGCCATTTTTTCAGTGAAATCTTCAAAGTTTATTCTCATGTTGTTTGCTTCTTTGTTTTTTTCGTTTTTTAGTTTAATGTTCCTGTTCTGCTTCTTTTGTGGGCTTGTTGATAACATTTGCATTCGTTTGGTTGCTAGGGACTCAGTTTTCACAAAGTTCTGGCGGATTGAGAGAGAGAGAGAGAGAGAGAGAGAGAGAGAGAGAGAGAGAGAGAGAGAGTCTGGGACGCCACACAAAAGGAGATGGAGATGGTGCACACTTGGTTGGCCACGTGGCGAGCAAGCCATTTGTTGAAACCAATCGAATTGCTCAAGTGGGGGCGGTGGGAGGTGGCCCGAATGGTCGAGAAGGGGCATCGCCACACCACTCTCAATATGTTCAAAATGGGGACGCACTTGCTGCTAGGCACATGGCCAGATGCACCCACCACATTTCGTCTTGTTCACATTTCGAGAGTGGTGTGGTGAGGCCCATGGATGCGAACTACGACGCTGGTAGATGACCCAAAACAAAAAGAAATGGAATGAAAAAAAGAAAAAGAAAAAGGAAAAAAAAAACTTCGGTACGTCTCTCGGATGCAGTCAGTAGAACTCGTGTGTCCGCCCAAGAAATCCACGCCCTCGGCCTGAATTCCTGTCGCTTTGTGGTACTCTTGTGAGTTGATAGTTGCCTATATCTGTTGCAGAGATGCGGATGGTGCAATGCACACAGCACCAATGGTCAGGGCATCTGGGAGATGTGTTTGTGGTTGAACTGTTTGGCAGAATGACAACCATGCATACAATCACTGCGAGTAAATCAGGGTATACGACACTCGCCAGGACTCTCCGGACATTTCCGACCATGTTAACAGCTAGATTCAGTCTATATGTCCTGCTGAGTATGCCTTAGGGTGACACTGACAATGAATGCACACAAGCTCCGCGCGCTGCAACTGTTGCTGTTCATATCCTTCTTTGCTCTTAATGCACAATTCTATTCTTCTCGCTGTTGCAATGTGTGTCAGTCAGATCTTCCACTTTCAAATCTCCTCCCTACGTCTCATTTTCACTATGACTTCGTTTAGAAAAGGCGATGAGCAATTTGACCACCTAGGCTTAGCAATGCAGTGTCGACGGGGGCAGGGTCTTTGTTTGGAGTGATCCTCATTCATGTGTGCCTATGGCCATTCCCGTTGCATTCGCTGTAAGGGCATATTTTCATTGTCCTTATGTGCCTATGGCCATTGCAGTTATAGTATGTATGTGATATTCTTGCCATGCGTAGTCTGCATTTTTGAACTAGTATTGGACGCGAACTAACAAGAGGATGGGTGCTCACTGGCCATCTCGTCATTCCTTGCATGGGCTCTTGTTCAACAGGTTATAAGGCAGTGTGGAATCTCACAGGGGCACACTATATCAGCCTCGGTAAGTTCCTCAAGTGTGTTGTGAATTTGCAGTGAACCAGGGTTGCATCCCGGCCGACCCCGACCGCCGACCGTATTGCCGCTGACCAGTTGGGCCGAGCGGTTGGAGGTCTGCCGACCAGTCAGGAAAAAAAAAAAAAAAAAAAAAAAAAAAACCTATCCAGTGTCCACTGATTTTTTTTCAAATCTGAGTTGGGGGCTGTACTGCACTTGCCTAGTACAGCCCAATTCCGCTGAGAAACTTTTGGCGATGGGGGGTTGGGGGGGGCGCTATGGGGGGGTTAGGGTTGAAGTACAGGGGGTATTGGGGGGGGTGATGAGGGTATGGGGAGGTTAGGGTTGAAGTATAGGGGGTATTGGGGGGGGTAATGAGGGTATTGGGAGAGATTTGGGGGTGTTTTGGGGGTGTGTATGGGGGTATTTGGGGCCGCTATGGGGGTGTTGGTGGTGTTATTAGGGCTTCTGGACCCCCCCACCAAAAAAAAATGCGGGGTGTCGACGACCCCCAACCGTGCCGACCGGCCGATCAGTCGGCGGGTTGGCAGCCGACCAGTCGAGAGCCATCAACCGTCAGGGGGTGCAACCCTGCAGCGAACCACAATATTGGCCAGTGCTTGTTTCAGCATGCACCTCTCACAGATTGCATGCATGAGAACGTTAGATGTGATATATGTGATACAAATTATCAGGGGAACAACGGGTCCACAAAGTCCTCAGGAAAGGAAGTTGCTGTGCCCATGGACCATTTTTGGACTGGCCTGATGCAGTAAAGCACCGCGGGAAAATGTGCCTGGTTAATAGTGGGCCAGAATTGTACAGATTGTGGAAGCATTCTTTTGGCCTGATGAATTGTACGCCGGAACCTGTCATTCATTATACAGTTTGTGGTGTCATTGTTTTTTTTCTTTCACTACCATCTTCACCCGAATAGAATCCGTGGTCACTATAGCTGTATTCAGTTCAACTTGCAGTCTACATATGGTGATAATGACTGGGCGTTCTATCCAGGTGAAGACGGTAGTGTGTCCAGGGAAAGTTGATATTCTTGCCATGCATAGCCTACATTGTTTTTTTTTTCACTATCATTTTTAGGATGGCCTCGAAAAGTACGGGTCTAAGAACAGAGGAAAGAGGGAACCGGATACGGGAAGAAGACAAATGATGAACTCCAATCAAGCTTGTGAACATAGTACTGGTGGTTGCAAAATCGCTGTCTTCTGTGAATGTGGAAGTAAACTGTGTTAAGAATTCCATCTGGAAGAACATCTCAGAGTATTAGATAGGACTTATCAATTAATGTGGGTATTCAGAGTTTCAGGGGGATATTGGAACGAGTTTATAAGCTCAGGAAAGTATTAGACTTGACAGGGTTTGCTGGAAGTCAGTCCTTCCCTACACTATTAAAATCGCTAACGTGACAAATCTGAAATCCAGGCCGTCGTCGGTCCTACCGGCCCACGGCCCAGATCAACAGAGCCATGTAACAAATCTTCCATCTGGGCCGTCGCGTCCTACCAGACCGACGGACTAGATAGATGCGGTCTTAAGAAGTTAAGATCGTAAGATCGCGCATCAATCCAGGCCGTTGGTTCGGTACCTTGGGCCCGACGACCCAGATTATTTGCCTGTTGGAGGGGGCTGCGGTACCTACCAGTAGTTTCTTGGCGCGGTACCTACCGGTGGGGTTTTGTGTTCGGGCAAACGGGTTCCCATAGGCTGCCTGCAATGTAACGACTTTTCCGTGGCGCCGTGTACTGTTTTTGGGTGGGGGCGTGCCTCTTTGGTGGTGGCATGGGAATGCCCCACCCCTATGCTACTCTACTCTGTACTATCCCTACACTATTAAAATCGCTAACGTGACAAGTCTGAAATCTGGGCCGTCGCCGGTCCTACCGGCCCACGCCCAGATCGACCTAACCATGTAACAAATCTGCCATCTGAACCGTCGGGTCCTACCAGACCGACGGCCTGGATAGATGCGGTCTTAAGATCTTAGGACGGCGCCGAGATCCAGGCCGTTGATCCGTACGGACGGCACAGATAGACACACTGTGGAGTGCCTTTCGCAGATAGATGCGCCGCGGAGTGCCGTGGAGTATTACCGGAGTCAAGTGCTGTGCGTGTACATCGAGGCCCACAGCCCAGTACCTCGGGGCAAACGGCTCGACGGCCCAGTTCACAGGCAACAGGGTACCTCACTTTGCCTTTGTCGGTTCCAACCGCATCGAGCCATATTTTCTTGAGCTTTGCGCCGACGCGTCCATGTCGTTTGCCGTAGTACGTGCTGGGTACTGCCTCGGGCCTTGTTGTGTATGCCCTGATTGCTGTTGTGGATCTTGCTGCGCAGCGCCCAACTCTCTCTCTTGCTTGCTGCTTACTCTCTTTCACTCTGGGCAGACTGTTGGGGTTCAACCTCCTGACGAGTCGGTGAAAGCCCGACTAAACAGTCTGCCACAGTCATGCTATTTTAATGGAATTGTATAACAAACATGACAACACACACACACATGCACACACAGTATCCGTGTCTCCCTCTCACCTAAGGTTGGCCAGCTGCTGCTGCGAGCTGTGGTGGGCCAAGATTGAGGTGCGGTGGAGTAGTTGTCATCGACTGAGTGCTGCTGCAAGAAGGAACCCTCAGGTCAGTGGCATGGCTCCCTTCCCAAACCACTTCCCCCCCCCGCCCGTCTTCGTTTGCCCTCCGCTGCTCCTACGCCACCCGACTCCTCCAACCACCCAGCCCACCCCCTCCTCAGCCGGTCCTCATCTCCTCTGCAACCCTATTCCACTACAGCGCCTCCCCTTCTCCCCTCCGCTCTTTCTCGGCTCCCCTGACCAGCTGCCGCCTCGACTCTCTTCTCCGCCCATGCAGCCTCCGTCCTGTTTTAGGATCTGTGTGTGTGTGAGAGAGAGAGAGAGAGGGCGAGAGAGAGAGAGAGAGGGAGGGAGTTAGTTGGGCGCACGTGGGGTCTTTTCCCACTGCCACTGAAAAAGAGTTTCGAGTGCGCTGTCTGTGTGTGTGTGTGTGTGTGTGTGTGTGTGTGTGTGTGTGTGTGAGAGAGAGAGAGAGAGAGTTTCCGGCGTCATTCCGCCCCTCATCCGCCGCCGTTGAATAAGAAGAAAACGTTGGGCGCACGTGGGGTCTTTTCCCACCGCCACTGAAAAAGAGTTTCGAGTGTGCA